ATACAACTATCTACTGGGGCTTTGGGGGAAAAAAATAAATAAATAAAAATTATTAAAAAAAAAAAAAATAATAATAATGCCAAGTCCAGCAAATTCTAGCCCCACGGGAAATAGCAAAATACCCTCAGGACAACAATGAGTTTTGGTAATGGGTTATTATTATTTTTGTTGTTGTTATTATTTGTATTACTATTTTACTTTTGAGTGGTTCTATCATTATCTTGCCAGGTCAGGTACACATTTAGACAATTAAGGTTTTTATGTTTTTGTTTTTTAACAACAACAAAAAAAATCCTTTTTGGTGTCTGTCCCTTTAGATATTCAGTCCTTGGAATATGCCAATGTTATTTATTTATAATATAGGTATATTTCTGGAAATGAAAGTCAGAGGTAGATCATTTTTTTCCAGCTTTGTTGAGGTATAATTGACAAATAAAAATTGTATATATTTAAGGCATATAATATGAGATTTTGATATACATATACATTGTGATCATTTTTAGCTGTAGATACCGAGCTGTCATCTTGCAACGAGTTTTGGTTCACAGTAGAACACATGTACACATGTATTGCTAACTTTTTCTTCCCCCACATCAAGCTACATACCTGCAATTCTTCTTGTCCATGCACACCTTCCTTTCCTAAAGCAGCCTGGAGAACTAGGCATAGACAAGTGTCACAATTTTCAAATTTCTTAAAAAATAAAGGATTTCCTAAGTTAGATTAACATATCCTAAATTTTAGTGGAGTATAAAAATGGTGTTTCTTTGTATAATTTTTCTTCTCTAGAGTTGCCAGCATAACTACTATGAGGATGCAAAAGCCTATGGATTCAAAAATAAACTAATTATAGTTGCAGCTGAAACAGCTGGAAATGGATTGTATAATTTTATTGTTCCTCTCAGGGCATATTATAGACCAAAGAAAGAACTTAATCCCGTAGTACTGCTATTGGATAACCCGTAAGTATATTTTGAAATATACAAAAATCAAAAAGTTTTTAATATTATATCAAAAATAACATTTTAATTTGCTTAGAATATTTTAAATCAGATACATTATGGCACATGACTCATTGGAAGGTATCTTCTGTGCTCTGGTACAAAACAATCATTGAGTATGGTTATGTTTCACAATTACTACTTAAAACATCACTGGAATACTCAGAGCTTTTTATTTAAAACTATTTTGCAAGTGGTCATTACTTAATACCAGTGGGAAACATGCCACTGAAATAATTATAGTTATTTTCCCTAAATTAGCCAACTAGCCTGGAAAATCTCTGCCAAAACTGGATAATTTTGTTATCTTTCTAAAGAACCATTAATTATCAGAGAAGCATATTAATCATCCATTTTTATGTTATACCATGCCACATCGTCATAAGTTGTGATTCTTCCACTGTTAAAACACACATTCTATAACATAACATGAATAATTAATGCTTTAACATGTTCATTTATTTTGAAAGTGTTGGATATACTCTTGTAAAATAAGACTACTTAAGCATTTCAATATCCTTGTGCAACTATAAATATAAGTCACTGAAAGCTATGGTCAAATACATTGTATCCTAAAATTATGGTATTCTTCTCTGTGACTCGAAATTAGTAGCAGATGGTCTTTAGATCAATACCGTATTTTAGGATCCTCCAACTCTCTTATTAAATTCCAAAGTGATGCAAATTTCTGGATAAACTGAATGGGCCCAAAATCTGTTGCCGTGTCTCTGCCTTTAAAATTTATCAAAAGAAGTTTCTCAAAACAGAGATAGCTCCCAAATATATTATAACTTCATGGCATTGTTTATTCTGAATATACCAATATGAACATAGTCATTGAGGCTTCTGTTTTAGCATCATTATCACAATGATAATCAACTCTGAAAATTGAGCTCACCTCTAGAGGTTTCAGTTGTAGAATTTTCAGGTATGATGACTTAATGACTTTTTTGATACCACTTTGGCATCCAAGGAGAGGTGAGGTAGATTTAGGGCAGGTCTAGGGGAACAGAGATTTGGACCCAATGTCAGAAGAAATAAAAGCTTAATAAAACAAATCTTAGGAGAATGAAAGTTGGGTTGCGGGATGGCTATGGTGATAGAGTGGTTGTAAAGAACGTCCAAGGCCTTTGAATATATCCCTAATTCTCAAACTTCTCTGGTAGGAAGCTCTAAGAGACTGGCTGAGCTGGCCACAAGAGATGCTCAGTTAACTATATGAATTCAAACCTGTCAGGTTTTGGCCCTTTTTGCTTATGGTATATCCACTCCCTTAGGGATAGAATATAAGGCAGGAGCATTTACAAGCTGATTGCCTTAGAGCATCCTCATCCTCATATGGCTTGGATCAGTGTGGATCAACTCAGACCCCAGAATACAGAGGGGAAGATAGGAAGGGGCTTGAAAAGAAAGAAGTGGAACTGTACTTATATCATCCCTGTGGTAAAACAAAGGATAAAAACTGTCCTTTCCTCTGCTTTTCATTATCTCAAGGTAAAATTTCTTGTCCTGATGTGTAAATCTCCTGATTAGGTTCCTGGACCCAATTTCAACGAGTATGTGTTGGGGTTTCCCCACACCTCCAACAAGCAATGCTCGGGACACCAGCTGGGTATCCTACAATTCAACTCAACTCTGACACTACCCAGAGATAGTATCAGATTCCACAGATTAAGGGTTCAGTCCTACAGGACTACCGCCCCCCCACTTCAGAAGCCATTCACAAGCCCAGGTATCACCTGTGCTTCTGACCAACCAGCTGTAGATTAGAGGTTCCAATGACACCCTCCTTGGACTTCACATGCCAGCTCCAAGTCTGGGTTGTTACCTGTACTTCAGAATGACTGGCTATAAATCAAGTTCGATTAATTTGCTAGAGCAGCTCACAGAACTCAGAGAAACATTTTACTTACTGGATTATCAGTTTATTATAAAATGATACAACTCAGGAACAGCCAGATGGAAGAGATGCGTAGGGCAAGGAATGGGGAATGCCCTCTCCCAGGGCACCACTAATCTCCAAATCTCCTCATGTTCACCATCCTGGAAGATCTCCAAACCCCGTCCTTTGGGGTTTTTGTAGAGGCTTCATTACATAGGCTTGGTGGATTAAATCATTGGCCATTGGGGATTGAACTCAATCTCCAGCCCTTTCCACTCCCCGGAACTCAGGGGATGAGACTGAAAGTTCCAACCTTCTGTTCATGGTTGGTTTTCCTGGCAACCAGCCCCCATTCTTGGGTGCTTTCCAAAAGTCACCTCATTAACATAAACCCAGTTGTGGTGGAAAGGGGCTTGTTAGGAATAACAAGACACCCATTTCCCCTTTATGGCCCTGAAGTGATTTCAGGAATTGAGGACGAGAGACCAAATATTATGACAGAAGATACTCCCTCCCTTTGTCCTTCTTTATCACTCAGAAAATTTCAAGGGTTTTGGGAGCTGTGAGCCAGGAACCCTCAATGATGTTGAGGAAATATATATGAGAAATATCACACCTTCCAAAAGAATCAGTCTCCAAATTTTGGAGTGGAGTTTACTCCATGGAATGGAGATGGGATCCTCTCTTTTTCAGTATCCAGTCTTGCTAAGTAATCCCATCTCAGAATCACTAATCCTCCTTTCTTGTGTTTATTATCCCACTGAGCTAGTGGCTGGAGCTAGAGTTCCTTAACGTGTGTACCTTGTATAGACTGGAATAGCTATCACTGAGTCAGTCCCTTTCTGTTTGGTTTTTAATAAACGGGTTGCCAAAATGCCCAGTTACTGAATGATTGATTGATTTGTATATTAGAATTGTAAAATCAAGTGGTTGTTTGTACAGTCTTCATTCCTAAATCTGATCAATCACAGAAAAATCTGGAAACTCTGTTTCTCTTAATTACTGGCAAACTGGTCAGTAATTCTGTATAAATATAGATGTACCTTTCATCAGAGAATATCTTATCTGAATGGGACCATAGAGATAATTAAATAAAATTAATATTCTTTACCTCTACCCACTGTTCATAATAGTAATAATTGTTGAGCACTTACTACATGTCAGTCATTACACTAGACACTTTACCTTTATTTTCTGTTTTATTCCCATAAGAAATATATCCACATTGCACAGTGATGATTTATCCTTGGAGAGACGTACCAAGCAACTGAAGATCTCAAAGCTTACAAGTTAACAATGATAACATTTAAACAAACCAGTTTGCGTGACTTGTTTACACCACTGTCTCTTATTTTATAGACAAAGAAAAACAGACCAAACAAGTTAAATGACTTTTTCCAAGGTCAATTCTAGGATTAGAACTTTCTCTGCAATTTGTAGTTCTTTGTTGTTTCAACTACATGATCTTACCTAACTTACAGGATTTTGATATATACAAAAAATACATTGTCAATTCTTTCTAGAAGCAAGAATATATTTTAACTTTGGATTAGTTTGTATTAAAATTTTCCTTTGTTTTTGTAATGACTTACATTTTGGAATTCAATTATTCACATGATGTTGTTTATTAGATGATTTTTGTGGGGTTTGACTTTCTTTCAAAGAGTTAGGATCAAAGTGCACGCTGTGAAATTTATTAGCTTCCCGTGTACTTCCCGAAAGTGGTGTCTAATGTTTTTATTTGTTGTCCTCTGTTTCTTTGGTCAAGAATGAGTAAACAAAAACTAAACACCAATAAACAATGTTCCAGGAAGTTTTAAGTGACTTTTTTCTTTTAACAATGAGATGCCTGTTGCTCTGCAGAGGCTAGTATTTTGCAATCTATACAAAGAAATATGATGCTTTCTTCCTTAAAATATTTTCATGTTATAAGAATTTATACACTAGTGATTGTACACACTTCTACAATTATTAGTTAGCTTCCTGTGGCTTGACTTTATTTTAAATTCACATTAACGTTGCTGAAAATAATATTCAATAAATGGCTATTTAGGAAATTAAGTTGAAAGACCAATTAATTCAATATAACAGAAATAAATAATAACAGATGTCATAATTATAGGATTTTAAATTGTAAATTAAATTTATAATAGTCACACACACAATATGTCAAAATAAGTATTCACAATGTTTCCAAATAGAACGCCTTCTAGATCTCATATGGTAATTAAATAAAACCCAGTCACCTTGGAGAACATCTTGCACTTGATACTGGTTCATTAGAGCTGTCTCAGTTCTGATTGGCTGGCCATCTGTTCTGTTTGGTCTGGTATTGTGCCATACTGATTTTAAATATTTTGATTACCTCCTCAACATTAAAAGTCATCTAGTCATCTGATAATACCACTTCATATGAGAGATGAAAAAGACAGTCAAAAGCTTTGGAATATATTAACGCTACATAGAGTTGAAGTGCAAGATTCAGGCTTATTTTCCTAATTTTTACATCTTGTTTACACTATCCCTTTATTAAATCAATCTTCTTTTCACAAAGAGTGCCAAGTAAACTTCAGTTCAGCTTATTACAAAAGTAATGATAAAATGTCTGATATATCAGGGTTCTTATGAAGACATCCAAACTTTGGGCTCATACAAATCTGAAATATGGTCTAAGCTTACTCTCTTGATAGACCTGGTGCATGTTATTGAATTTCTCGAAGGCTCAATATTCTCATTTGTAAAATGAGTAGAACATTTATCTTAATTTGAGAGGAAACCCAATTAACAAAAAAGGGGAGTTTATTTCAAGTAGTTGAAACAAAACTTCTTATATATTTTTAAGGAAGAAATAAACTACTTAAAAGTGGAATTATGAAATGCTAACAAAATAAATTGTCTCACTACATTCATATTTTGAATTTGAAATAAAGAAATTAAGTTCATTATGGTTATTAATTAAATGGGAGATAATGTCTTCAACTTTGCAAATCCATGCAAATTTACCAACCTTTTCAATTCCTAGCAATCACTAGCTAATTAATATTTGCATATAATGGTAATTTTTATAATGAAAGATTTTGTGAGATATGATGTTTAGACTCATAAGTAGTCATCTTTCTTAATAGAATTACAGTTAAGACACTGATTAGTGATATGCTCATTTTTTTTCCTATTTATTAGTGTCAATTACTTTTTGTGTTTGTTAAAATTTTATTTCTTTTATTACTAGTTAGTTTCACCATATTTTGTTTTGGTCTATGCATGTTCATTTTGTCCTAGATCTATTTTCTTGTCATGTTCATCTTTCTTTTATTGATTTTAAATTTCTTTCTATATTAAGCACATTGATCTACAAACTTTGTATAAGTAATATTTTAAACATATGTTTTTTATATGTTAAAATATTTATGATGAGCTTTACAATTGAATCTTTCAGTCATTGTGATGAGCTTTACAATTGAATCTATCAATCACTGTCACTACTTTTCCTTAATGTAATTGCTAAATAGATAGACCTTCTCTATTTAGCAGTCAGATAAAAAAAAATTGCATACATTTTATTATATTGTATTAGTGGTTTTATTTTTCTACATTCCACTCTTCATCTGTACTTTGGGGGTGTAACATAAGAAAGGGACATCTATTTTTATGAATGTTTTATTTTTTCCTTAATGTTTTGCAATAATAATGCTTCTCAATGTAAAGGTTATACTTGCCAATTAACTGTCTCTCAATAATCAGAAAGATTAGTCTATTAAGAGCCTATGATATCATTTATGTTATTCTTTAATTACTAAGCAGTTTATTGTCATAAACACTGTTGCCAATTTATTTAAATGGGGCAACATGATATATGTAAATGTACAATTAATATATTCTTTATATTTCAGGTTTCCTTTTAAGCCATCCTTATCAAGAGAAGTAGTGGGTGATCTATTTGTTATACAAGTTAAATTTTGCAAAGAGTATGGCATTACATATACATACAAAAATAATGTAGGTGCTCCCTACATTAGGTACTCTTCATCAGGATTATATATTTACCAAGTTTTAGGAGACTTGGTTTACCTTGTAACACAGCTGAAGTCATGTAAAGATGAACCCTACTACCACACTACAGATGTTAATTTCTAAGGATGTGGAAGATTGCTTGAGCACTGTAAATACACGTTTGTGGCAGAATTGCATGTGACTAGAATTCATGAGTTTCCTAAAACAAGGCAATAATTTTGATGTCCAAGTACTTTTAATGATTCCTACTGGACGAAGCAACAAAATACAAAGGCCACAGCTTCAGTTTTAATTCTAACAGAAGGATTGACATAAGGTAAGGACTTACTTTGTCCCCAGTGACCCCAGTGTACTCATATTGCACAGAAGATTTTCAGTTTCTTGATTAAGTTGAATTATTCAATAACATGAAATACTGTTACAAGACTTTGGAAGAAAGATATGTCACAGTGGACAGATGCTCAGAGAAGAGAGCATCAAGAAATTAAAATAATCTGAATTTAAAAGAATGAGTCATTAAAAAGGAGAATATTTCAGCCTGAGTATATATCTATAATTAATAAAGAAGAATTATGAATCCAACTCTGCCACATAAGTTGTAGCTACTCCCTTTATCTGACTGGAACTATATAGGAGCAAAGACAGAGAAAACAAAAAGTAACCAAAAAAAAGCATAAGCCAACGGATTTTTCAAACCACCATAAAATCTCAGTGCTGCCACAGTCTTGTGTATGTGCATCCTCACGTGTGTTTCTACAATCACCAGGTAGAGTAAGAGAGACATGAAGGCTCTTGAATCAGCAGTTAGAGTGGTTCTTCTAATTTTAAGAAGCAGAGCAGTGCCCAGAAAGAGAACTAGAAGGCACCATTCAAAGGCAGCTATCGGGAGTGTATATTGTTATATTTGTTGAAAACAACATACATCACGAGCTTTAAAAATATTTACAGTCTGTGATTCACTAATAATATTCCTTCTATGAATGTTTTGGGGTCAATGATAAAAACTAATGGTAGGAAAAAAGCCAAAGATGTCCATACCAATATCATTTATAGTAGTCAGAATTGGAAATAACTTGTAACTTCAATAACTAATAGCATAAAAGTGAAAGTAACTTATAAACTGAATAATTGAGGATATTTTAAATGAATTGTGGTACACTTATAATATGTGATAATATGGGGCCATTTCAAATGGCTATGAAGAAATTTAGTGATGGGAGGAATTTAATGAACATTACAACCGTGGTATTCTTTGGAAGATTTCTTTTTACGCTTCACTGTATTGAGCATTCTTTTCTTTTTTTTTTTTTTTTTGTGGGAAGATCAGCCCTGAGCTAACATCCATGCCAATCCTCCTCTTTTTGAGGAGGAAGACTGGCCCTGAGCTAACATCCATGCCGATCTTCATTTTACGTGAGATGCCGCCACAGCATGGCCTGACAAGCGGTGCGTCGGTGCGCACCTGGGATCGGAACCCTGGCCGCCAGCAGCGGAGCTCACGCACTAATCCGCTGCACCACAGGGCCGGCCCCAGAGCATTCTTTTTCTTAAGAGTGTAAAAGGATAAGGGGATGATCAATAGGAAGAAAATAAGTCAGGAAGGAAGAGACTTTTTCTAGCTACAATAAGCACCTGGGATATGATAGCTGCTATGCTTCCCTTTGCGTAGAATTGTCCTCCTTCTCTTTTACTAGGCAAACTCCTATTCATCCTTCAACATCCAAATTAAATATCACCTCTGTGACATAATCCCCATTCTGCTTCCTAAGTGCAACCTATTGTTTATTTTTTCATATTAAAACATATAATTGTGTGCTTTTGTACATATGTTCCAAAAACTCTATTTGAATACAAGGAAACATGATGTTATTTTTTGCATATGGCTGAGTATATTAAAATGTCTATTATATAAAATGTTTTGGATATATATATATGCTGAGTGAATAGATGCATGAAAGAATTAATAACTTTATCAAATGAATACAATAGATTAAGTGATTGCTAAGGAAGCATCTAAGTTTATGATTCTTTCCCTAAATATGCATATAGTAAAGATTTCAGTTATAATAAATATTTGCTCAACAATATGTATTGAGTAAATCAATAATTTAAAAGGTGAATTACTTTAATTTTAATTTTCTATAATGCATATAGTGCATGGGTACGTATACATATTTATTTATTGATATGTTGCTCTATTAAAGGGCATGTTGTAATTCTATATATCCCTTAGAGGAAATTGCTCTTAATAGGCATGCTAATTTAGTTCCCTATGCTTTGGGTCATCTAAGAAAAAATTATTAGTTTCTCATTTTACAAGGTTTCTTCTGCATGAATAATTTTTAAGCTCATTGATAAGACTTTTTAGTCATAATTGAGAGTATCAATCAGTATTTTTGTAGAATGATGCCATAATGTTTCTGATTTAGAAAACAGAACTACAACTTGCTTTTAGCATCGTATTATTCATAACAAGTACAAATGACATTTTCTGATTAATGTTAAGAACAAAGGTACTTAAAATTAATCTTGTCACTAGTGTTTAGTTTTGGAAATGCAAACTAAGTCAACTTACTTCCTTTCCCTAGAAGTGCTGCCACTGTTGTGACATTGTGTTTCATTTTGTAACCCATCTGCTACTTAGGCCAGATATGCATTTTCTGGATGCAATCTGTTGGTTTCCAATGGTTTACTACATGGTGGGCTCTATTGACAAGTAGGTGACAAAGTCTTTGGCACACTAACTAGTGTGGTGTCCTGTGGTTTGTCATGTGCTGTGCCCCCGTGTTGCATGATGAGTGTAATTTAGCATTTCAGAATTGCAAATATGATGTATTTTGCATGTAGAACTTATGTTCTTGTGTCATACATCTGTATTCAAACTTCCTAAGCAGTAATCTGTTGTTGAATTAAAACAAATCTTGCTGCATGCCAATTTTGCCAATTTTGTTCAGTTTCTAAAGCTATTTCAGTTTCGTGTCGTCTACAGCAATAACGTTATAGTATTACTATTGACATAGTGGTAGAGAAAACCTAAAGGTTTAACATTTTGCTGTATTGATATTATCGTAACTTCTGGAAACCTTCAAAATAATTTAGAAATGCTCGTTTTAAGTCAGATTTATAAACTGGAGCATTTCCTTAAGAGTTTCTTTTAGTAAAATGTATCAGTCTATAATTTCTAAAAATTTGTTAATTAAAAGGTCGAATGTGTGCAATGCATTAGTATTAAAATATGAATTCTTTTATATGCATGAACATGACATTATAAAAGATATAAAAACTAAAAGATCATAAAACTAATATGCTTATAAAATGTGTTAATTTTCCACTTAAAAAAAATGTCAGCCAGAGCCTTCAAAATAAAATGCTAAAAGTTATCACTTGAGAACTTGCATGCTAACATTTCATCCTGTAGATGTTGAACAAACTAAGTTTTGTAGCTTTGAAATTGTCTACGGCTGTGTATATGTGAAAGGCCAAACAGACTAATATATATTTAGCCTCCATTCTACATCAATATAATTTACATTATCAGTTGTTATGATACTAATTAAATGAAGTTAGATGTACTAAACTACAGTTTAAATCCATGAAAGTGAAATCCACCCACTAGTAATGTTACCTTGAAATGATAGTATTCTATTAAAATTCATTTGAAAAATAGTATATTGAAAAGATAAAGAATAAACCTCCCATCTGTCTTTGCTGATGTGAACTGTGAAATGGATTCTTCCTCGGTAAAAGTATTTATGATGAGGAAAAGAAGAACTGAGAGAATCAAGTTTGTAGGATTAGAGATGAAACAGGATTGGCTACAAGTTGATAATTATCGAAGCTGGATGATTGGTCCGTGAAGATTCATTGAACTATTCTCCTCTCTTGCTTATGTTTGAAATTTTTCTTAAAAGTAACAACAACAACAAAAACCTCTGAGTGAATTAGAACACACTCACAAACACTCCCTTCTACTCGTACATTCACATTCTAGTTCTCCTTGAAAAGGAAGTCTTAAAGAAGGATAGGACGCACGCATTGCCTTTAGATTATCTGTACCTTTTTTCCATCCATATTGATTTTTTTCTTGAGTAGCCATCTGGTGGCTGAACTGTGTAAAGCAACGCTGAAGAAAAAAATAGAGAGTGGCTTTGTAGACAGGATAGTGGGGAGAAATTATGTTGGACGTGGAGTTATAAGAATAAATTGGTACCCTCATAAAAAAGGAAAAAAAAGAATAAAATGCAATATTAAATGAATATAAAAATGATAATTTAAAGTTAAAACATGAAGAACAAAAAGTTTCCACTTAGTTCAGAAATGCCATTCCAATTTTATGTATTTTCTATAGCTTTAAACTCATATGCAATCATAATTGCTAAAATAATTTGCCAAGGTTATGTGTAAACTACAACAGCCAGTATTTTGAGTATGGAATTAACTGGTACATATAGCTATAGGTAGCTATTAGCTATTTAGCACAAGTGCTCTCACAGTGCAATTTTTGTCAAGTTTCAACTTCATTGAGTTATTGCTGAGGAAATAGTCATCTTTCCTATTATAACTTCTATCTGTACCCTTTTCCAGTCAAGCTTAACTCTTATCACCTTATCTTTCTCTTTTTCTTTATAAATAATTATAATAGAGAGATTTTTTTTAATGAGGAATAAAAGATTGTAAGAGCTGAAATATAAGATAGTGATTTAGAATTATAATAAGGTGAGTTGAAGACATATGAGTTAAGCATCATTTTTATGGTCCATAAGGGACCATATCACATTCATTTTCCACCTACTTCTTTCTTTTTTCTAAAAAATATATTTTAATAGATGTAAGAACAATGATGATGAATTTCCTAGATAAAAGGAACACCGAAGTATTCTTAGGAATTTAAACTTGATCATCATGTTGATTGGATGTTATGGTCCTGGCCCCTCTCACCATAGGAAATTTATTTGGAATAACATTCTGTTTCCACAGTTTTAGCCCTAAAATATCTTCCACAGAACATTGTTCCTGATTCAGGTGAAATATTTTTTTCTGGGCTACTCCTGGGGATCTTGGACTCAAAGCTTTGGTAATACTCTCTCGCCTTATAACAGAGTAAGAAATCCTGCCTCCTGCCTTCCCATAAAAGGAAAATAATTCTCTCTAATGTAACATGGCTAATAAACCAATCATGCACTTGGAAGAGATCCTCAGGGAAGTGACTCTTCAATTTAAGAATCTAAAAGGAACTATTGTTCTTTAAGTTTTACACTTCCTATTTTAAATCAGAAGTTGTGGAAATCAGACAAATTCTTATCTGACTGCAATCTAACTGTGTACCTAGAACATTCTTATACTCATTCAAGTTTAGTCTCTCTGATCTAATTCAATCCTATTTTTCTAGTTTGTATGAAGCAGAGGTAAGGAGATAATGGTCTCCTCATTTCAGCTTTAATGGTAATGTTTTCTTTTAATTCAGTGGAAGAATGCTAGTTAAAGTTTTTATCAGTGGTAGGGGAAAAGATGGACTCTGTTATACCTCATAGGAACTCGTATCCTAGTGCAGCAGTAATTTCATGAAACCGAAGAAATCAGGTTATTCAGTCACTTGCTCAAAAACTTAAGGCTGGCTACAACTTTGTAGGCTTGAATACAAGTGACATTTATATATTTTACATACTCTTGGCTGTGTGGAGCCAATCTATAATGCATAGCTTTACACAAAGAAATAATAGACGTTTAAAAATAAACATTTCACAGTTCTGTATTTCTTTATTAGGCTTGACTATTTAAATTAATAGAAGTATTTATTTCTATTCTTACCAAAGCACCTTAAGGATAAAAAATACAAATATCCTGTCTTTGAAATAGTGTGCTAACTGTAAAAACCAAGTTTTAACATGCTCTATTTAATTGCAAATGGGTGTTTTCCGTGTTTTATTTATATAATGAATGAATATTATTAAATAAAGATTCTTAACGCATATGCTTTGAAATGGTTGAGATCTGATGAAACATAAAGAGCCCAAAAATACAAATTATTTCATATCAGTAGAGAATATTGCGTTATAATGCCCATTAACGTCTACCACTGCACACTTTGGGAAAGCCACCTTACGAGGGCAACCTATACAGACACAGGGAGTAAGCAAGTTTTAGCACTGATCCTAGTACTGTGATCTATTGAAAGTCCATTTTTCTCTGTTGATATTTATCAAAGCCTAGATGACCTACTCAGGTGTGGAGTGACTTTTGCTGCCAACATGGTGGTTGTGGACAAAGAGAGCACCATGAGTGCCGAGGAGGACTACATGGCGGATGCCAAAACGATTGTGAACGTGCAGACCCTTTTCAGGTAAATTCTGGATAACTCTGCCCTGTCATTACTCACTGCTCACTGTCTGTGAAATATTTGCCTCTGATTCTGTGTATAAGGAATGAACATGAGACACTCACACTGAAGTTATGTTCATGTATTAGATCATAAAACAAATACTTATTTACCACCTAAGGTATGACTGGCACTGTGTGAAGTTTAATTTTTAACACCGGGTCAGGGCTGGCCCCATGGCTTAGCGGTTAAGTGCGCGCGCTCCGCTGCTGGCGGCCTGGGTTCGGATCCCGGGCGCGCACCGAGGCACTGCTTCTCCAGCCATGTTGAGGCCGCATCCCACATACAGCAACTAGAAGGATGTGCAGCTATGACATACAACTATCTACTGGGGCTTTGGGGGAAAAAATAAATAAAAATAAAATTATAAAAAAAAAAAAAACAAAAAAACACCGGGTCAGTAATTCTTTTAAAAATAAGTAGAATAATAAATCTATTTTCTTGTCTAGTTTAACAATAACAAGTTCTAAAAAACTATATGTTGTAGCCTTCACGATCTGTGACAGATCATGCAGGTTTTAATTTTAGTTTTATGCCTAGCAGTGGCCAAAGGTATGCATTTACATACTGGATAACTAGTAATGAAAGATGGCAAGGCTGCAAGCAGGTAATTTACCCGTGTTAGGAGCCACACCATAACCTTATCTTCACTAGTTTCCTGTCTTTCATTAATTAAACTCAGCCAGATAGGAATTCGCACTGTGGTCATCTTTGGGTGAGAAAGAGCAATCCTGACTGGAGAAAAGTCCATGACATAAGAAAAGCCAAAATCACCTATAAATCAAGACATCTACATCACTTGGAATAATTCTTCCTAAAATCATTTTAAAATGTACATATCTAAAATATCATTATTTCAGTTTGATGAGTTTTGCAGAAGTCTAAAGGAAACATCTGAGGTACCAAATTACAAAAGTAAACACAACAGTGGGAACTTGATGCTCTTCTGTCCTCGCTCCACCTTCGTATTGTAGCAAGGTGGATATTGAGGGTAATGATCTGTTTATAGTTTGGCTTCAGAATTCAGAAGAGAGAGCCTAGGTATAAGTCTCACTTAAGTTGATTATTTATTATATGATTTTAGGGAAATTAATTTCTTTCTCTAAACCTCAATGTCTTAATCACAAGGTTGTTTGAGATTTAAAAATATATAATGCCTTAGCACATGGCTGGTAGTTTTCAATTGGTTGAAAAATGTTAACTACTATATTTATTAGCAGTGTAATTATCACTTTCATGTGGCCGAGTGGAAAAGCCACAGACCCTGGAATGACATGGCAACAAACTTCATCTGGCACAACCTCTATCCCAGAGGTTCCAGCAGAGACTTACTAACTCTGGACCTTAAGTGTGTTTCTTAATCTCGTTGAAATTCGGTTTTCCTCATCTGTAAAATGCATATGGGAAATAATTAGCCCTTTCTGTAGTGTTAATGTAAAGGCTGGAAATCAAGTATATAAAGAATCTCTCACAGCACCTGGAAAATCTACCCTGAACCTCTTGTGCCAGAAGGCGATATACACCCTCTGAAGTTACTATAATGCACCAGTTCATTTAGAATATAGCTAACTAGTCAATGAGCTATATTAAATAGTACGTTTAAAGATAGCATAGCATATGTTTAAAATATGACAGATATAAGCAATTTTTTTTCTGTAGAGAATGAAAAAAATTACAGGGTAGGAAGTTAATTCAGAGGGATGAGATTTATAGCCAATGAATCAAGTCATACTTTTCAATTCCATGCTTGGCAAAAGCTAATTATAGTTTTAACAGGGGAGGATCCAGGGTCTTTTTGATTAAACATTCCATTTTAATTTTCAACTTACTGTGAGTTTATTTCTATTATGGTGAAATTTCTATTGATTTAACTTTTATTGCATATTCTCTGAATGAATTATTTTGATTCCAAGTTAATAATAAATCCTCATCTTACTCAGAGGTGCAAAGGCTCTAATTAATTATTTAAAACAAGCTAACTGACCAGAATAACTAAGGGCAGTCATACACATGGTAATTGACATGTGCAAAGGCTGCGTTCCCTGAGTACTTGGCTGAGGAGGCAATCATATGTTGGAAGAATGAATGGTTGAATGAATGAGCAACTTTGCATCCCTGAAGTATTAAGGTTACTTATCTTCAGCAGAATATTTTAGAAATTATGCAATTTTTTATGGTGCATAAACACATCTAGACTGAACAGTTTTAAGCAGAACTTTCAAAGAACTATTAGATACCCAGATTATAAAGTAATTACTTCTGTTTTTTCCTTTCCTTTGCCTATAAAGGCATTATCATTATTTTGCTAAGTACATAATATTTTTCAGGAAAAAAAATTCTATGAAACTTTTTTTGGAGTAATTCATAAACTGTTAATCTATGCATGCTACATTAGGCTAGTCTTACTTAATAAAAAAATAAGACACCAACAGGTCCCTATGATACACAAAATATCGTTTATGTAGATAAATGACCCAAATCATGCAGATTGGTAGTTTCATTTTATAGGTGCAGTCAGGTACTGCCCTTGAGGTTGCTCTCCTGCATTCCTTGAAAATTTTAGTTCCTGATTGACTGTGACTCTCGCCAACCCTGCTTCTACTGTAATTCTTGATGATTTCAGCGATCCTACATAGATGATCTTTTCAGTATCTTATCTTAGCCACCTATCCTCATGGTCATAGTCTTTACCTTGAAGTACCAAAAGTTTTACCTTCCTCAGTCTCCATTTCATTCAACTATCTGAGAACTACTGTTTATTTTCTACTTTGTTTCTTCTAATACCCCCAACTCCTAACAGTAATTTGTCCCCACTGGAACCTACCATCCACTGATTCTACACCTTTTCACTTTCCTTGCTCACTTGGGGCTTTTCTTCCCTCTTTACCCAGATTACATTGCAAGGTCAATCATTATAATCACTCCTGTGCTGAAACCCTAAACACATAATCACTGATTATCTACTATAGGCTGACACTGATCTCAACTCTGTTTCCTTTTCTCTCTTCCTCCTACTCCCAGATCTCTGTCATCTCAGGTTCTCTACCCACCATCTTGCATGAAATTCCCTAGAGGCAGATGACAACATTCCAGAGGTAGGATCCAGCTACTCTTACAAGCAAGCATCAGGCAACTAGAAATCCAGGCACAGTGGGTGGATACCAGGCTATTTAGGATGAGAGCCTAGGGCCCCATCTCCAAGGGAAGTAGAGTCCTACACATTGAGTCTGCATGAGCTATTAGTGTTAAAAATGATTAAAGAAGACAATTAAGGTGATTCAAACAACTTGACTTAACACTTCATGAAGCGGGCAGTCTCTGTTCCCAAGGCTCCAGAGAACTGCAAAATGGGGTGGGAGACAGGAAACTTTTATAGGATAAAAAATAAGGAACAAAGAAGAGAAAATGAATAAGAAACAAGGAATTAAGCACATATGGAGCCCAGGGTTGGCTTGGTGTCTGGGGATTGGCTGACTGGGTACGTACGCTGTGTTTCTGGTCAAGCAGAGCATTTACAGGGACAGGAAAATTATCTCAGTGTCAGTTTGCTGACATGGCATCTAGGGCTCCATCTTGGGCCTAGAAATTTATGTCAACAATAGTATCTCTAAAATAGCTCAGCCAATCCTTATATTTCCATGAACATCATTAATTTCCTCAAACAAGAGCCATTTTCTAATTGGTTAATTAGTAAGGCCTGTGGTGTTGATAGAACTATGGGTAACAGAAGCAGTTTTAATTCTGGGATGTGTGCTAGAAAACCAAGCTGAGCCACCCTGGGTGGTGAAATAGAATGCTCGCTGTACCAGGAGTTTATCTTAAACCAACGCTTGAACGTCTTGTACTGTTTATGCTGAAGTATTTTAAAGTAAATGAAAGGTATCCTAAGAGTCATTCACCTGGTATTGATGGAGTTTGGGATTTCCACCAGAAGAGTTCCAAAGTCTGATGTCAGCTTTACTTCAGTCTAGGCAGTCTGAATGTGCCCATACTCTTGCCTCATACTGCCAGGCAAGGTTGTTGGAATGAGTAAGTGAGCTGTGCCTGGCGTAGAATAGGCAGATGGTAATTGGTGGCTGCTGCTTGTTAAAAGAACACGTCCTCAAGTTCGTGTTTCTAAAATACCGTGGTCCCAAAAATGTGTAAGCAGACATCATGATTGTTTTATTAATTGGAATACTTGGGCAAGAAGTTAGATGCAGTGTTTTATTTGGTTTGTTTATTTCTAGAAAAAAATCAAATCTGTGATCTACTCAGTATCTTTATATATGAGGCAAATAAAGATACTGCATGATGTCACTTTATATGGTGATGCTACATTTTATTTTAGCATTTGTAAGTGACTGTGTAACTATTTGGGCTTGTGCCATTTTAACTTGATTATTTTGACATTCCATTTTGATGCGGGGCATTTTGACTTACATTTTCAGCATTTAAAACTACTAAGGAATATGTTAGAAAATCTTCCATCTGTGCTTATGTTAGAGCCCAGGAGACAAGAATGAGATGGAATTTAAGAAGGAAATGAAAGTTAGAGTGCTCTGGTTCACAAGTTATTGATGTAACTGTTATGACCTATTTTGCCAGTCTGGAGTAAGGTTAAATTATTATTCAGAGGCTCAAATTGATCACCTGGTCCCCTACCTGCCCAGCTTACTAGGACATACACTTTTCACTTGACAGGACTCTTTTCTCCCTAAATTGCCCAAGGACCCTTGAGAGTTACTCAGTCCAAAAAGACCAAGGCAAACAGGAGCATCTCATTAATTCACTGGCAGTGTGTATGTGTGTGGGAGTTGGGGGAGGAGTTAGGGGAGATGTGAAGCATGGAGAGAATTCCTTTTCATCTGGAGTTGCATCTATAACTTCAACATAGTTTTATGATTGAAAACTGGGCTATGCAGTTCAACGTGTCTTCATCCAGTGGGGCAATTATGCATTTGCTAGTTTTGTCCCTGCATGTT